TTATAAACTAATGTATATATAAAGGAAAATCTTCACTAATAAGACATTCTTTACATATAATAGAACAATTTTGTTTCATATATATGGAAGAGATTTTAGTAATTATTCCGATTCCATTCTATTTACAACATATATATATATATTAAAATATGTTTACTCTGATTCTCGTCTTCACCTAACCATTCAATTTTTAAGATGTTATGTGATTACGATCAGCATTGCATCGGTCAAATTTAAAGTTTGTGTAACCCACAAGTAGGCAGCAATACAATGGACACAAGTAGTACATTTAATGGTACATATTACGTATTGTTGAATTATGCAAATACAAGTATTCGTATTGTCTACTCTTGCTTTATATTCGCGAGGAATTTTTTTTTTTAAAAAAAAAAACATGAAAAAAAAAGACAAAATGGCTTGTTCAGAGCAATTACCTCTAGAACTTATTCTTGCAGTGTTTACCTTTATTCCCGCTCGAGATCTTTGTAGATATTTAAGTCTATCCAAAGCACTTCGATATGAAATTCGAAAAATAATAGTTGAACGAATTCAACGTGAATTCAGAAGTGGGAGTAATTATTTACTGGTGTGTTTAAGAATTGATCAAATTTTTTGCTTTTTTTTTTTTTTTCTTATAATAATTGACTAAGATTTTGCATTACTTATAAAAGGCTACAATTGAACCTATAGATACTCATAGTTCTGGACCCACTCATATTTTTGATTTAATGCTTTGGGATGTTGATCTTTTATCACTTGATACTAGATTCAAGACTAATGAAAATAGTTCTTCATCGATTAAACATGCAAAGATTATAGGCAGAAAATTACAAGGCACGGATAGATGGGAAACAATTCTTCATAACTCTCATATAAGTATTGGTTCTACTTGGTTATCCATTTTTGACTCTGATTCTTCTCAAACAATCAAAAATGTTTCGTTACATGTTTTCTCTCCTTTTGACTTAAAGCATGAAACTACTTACGTTTCTAAAGGTCGTTTAACATTTGAAATCAACTTAGAGCCAAAAGCAAATATGTGTTGGAACAGTAACATCGACGACCATTCAAAAATTGTTGTTAGTAACATGATTAGAGAATTTGATGATTTTCAGAGTTTAATTGTAATGTCCCTTGTTGAAGAGGTTATTGTAAATGCTGGGGTATTATTAACAGCTATTGAAGAAAAGTGGCAGGATGATGTTGAAAGTGTGGTAATTGAAGATTCAGAAGATTAACATAATAGAAAATTTGCTTAAAAAAAAAATTAAAAATTAAAAAAATTAACAAAAATTAACATTGTTTTAATAAAGTTTATACTACAAATTTATTAAATTTAAGATTGACTACAGTATGTGTATGTACTAGTAGAATCTTAATATTTTACAAGTAATTAAACTATCCATTTATTTATAAAATGACGTGTCGTAAAAAAGCATTTAGAAAAAATAATGTTTATGAAAAAGCATCAATTGTACAAGTGCGACTTTACGACACAGCCCAAATGTAAAGCTAAAATATCACTACCTACTTCATATTAACAAAGAGTACTACTCTTCTCAGTGCCCATCAAAAAAATAATAAACTAAAAATCAAATTACATTATTGAGGAACGAAAAAATTATATACTTTTGGCATAAAAAAAAATAACTACATAAAGTACTAGATCAAGGGGTTTTTTCGTTCTAACTGTGAACCATTACCAAAAAAAAAAAAGGTGTATATAAATGTCATAACAAGATCTTGAAACAAAAGATACCATTCTGGCAAACTTTTGTGTCCAAAATCAGACCCAAACAAAGCAAACTATAAACTTCAATTTATAAAAATAATAATAGTAAAAATAAAAAATAATAATAATTATGGTTTGAATATGTAATACTTCATTGTTGCTGGACTTCGACGTGACCAATTGACGATGGCGAAAGCGATTCGGAAATGACTCCTTGAGGAGATGTATGCGCCTGCGCATCACTGCCAACAGATGGCGATCTTTGTTCTTGCGGCTGCGAATGCTGCTGTTGCTGTTGTAATAATTGTTGTTGCTGCTGTAAAAAGGCAAGCATTTGATTGTTCGGCATAGAGCTACTAACTTGTGTATGTGGTGTGGTGCCCACAATTGGCGGTGGAATCGCACCACTTGCTGCGAGCATATATGGATAAGCCGCAGGATTAAACATCGCCGGATGCCCATACATACCGGCTGCAACTGCTGCCAAAGTGGATGGATGAATGAAAGGTGTGAAAGGACTCATGTGCGGATAAGGAGATGTAGGTGGAAAAGGAGAGTGTGGGTGGGGAGACATTGGCATATTATTCATAAACATCGGTGCAGATGTTGTATAAGTTGTTGTCGGTGTTGAAGCCATTGGCGTGGAAGATTGTGTTCCTGAATTTAAAGTAGAACTTTCACTTGAAGTCTGTTGCCCTGCCGATTGAGGAGCCAATTGCTCGTGAGGAGAATTGCTATTTTCTGTAGTAGTATTACTGACTGCAGCCTGTTGCATTTGCTGATTTGCAAATGCAGCAGCGTAATAAGCAGCAGCAGCGGCAGCAAAATCTGGCGGCAAAGCAGTAGAAAACACACCTTGTGGAATACCAACCGGAGAAGGACCAGAATTCATATTTGGCGCACCCAAAGCAGGATCACCCACCATTCCTAATTCTTCCATTAAACGTTTGTATCCTTGCACTTGTTGAACTTTTAACTTGCCCAAAACAATTTTAACTTTTTCTGCCAACCTCTGTTTTTCATTACTATCAACATACGGGCTGGCCAAAACTTTTTGAACAACTCCAACACCATGAACTTGATCGCTCAACACATCTTCTAAAATTTGATCATTTGCAGAGAAAAACAATGATGCAATCGTCAAATCACGAGCATCTGATTCTTGACGTTGATTGATAATCTTAAGAACAGTTAAAGACGCAAGTTTATGTGTGCATAAATGCGCCAGATGTGGAGCAAGACGTGGAGCAAGAATACGATACCGACCAGGGAAGGAAGAGGTGTCAAGCATCCATGTTAATAATAAAGCACCGTTCGGATTGGTGGAAAGAGGAACTGCATTCATTACGATAGCAATAGCAACTTGTTTCTGTATATAATTAAGATTTAAAAATTAATAAAATTAAATCAATATTTTTTTATAATTAAAATTTCGGGTATGCTCTCACCTGTTGCTTCTTAGTAACATGTTGACTTTCTAAGCAAGCTCTCATTGCACGCGCACCAAAACGACCTTGAGCTATTTCCCAACATCTATCTACCATTGCATCAAATATAAATTGATTTCTTTGAGGACTTAAACGTAGACAGCATTGTACGACATAGTTTCCAAATTGATCCAAAAGAAGTGGAGGAGTATATGGTTTAACATTAGACGTGATAAGTTGCATCTAAAAAAAAACATAAATAGAAATAAATGATATATCTTAAAAAAAAATTAAGAAAATATACATAATTTAAAATCGATGTAATACCTGAGCAGGAGTTTTAGCACAATCAATTATCTTTTGTGCAGCCCATGTTCCATTTTTATGAATACCAATTGTTGCTAAGTGTGGTGCAATCTTTTCCAACATTTTGGTTTTGGTATTTTCGGAGCAACGTTCAAACAATTTCTGAATTACAGTATTACCGATATAATCTAAATTCATAGTTAAAATAATAAACCCATTTTTTATAAGTTTAATAGCTTATCTCATATTGTTTTAGTTGAAATATAGATGATAAATTCTTACCGCTTGACAGTTCAACACATTCTTCTAAAACTTCAGATGCAATTGCCTCCACTTCCTTTGCGGAACAATGACCACTGTCCAAACGTTTGCGAATTTCTCTCAACCTCGAAGCATCAGGTTTACGATTTGGATTTGGATCACCAACAGGAGGAATGGATGTGAAATACGTCGTGGGAGGGCGGTTTTCTAAAAAATTAATAATAGCATAAAGTCAATATTAGCTATAATTATTATCAATAATAGGTGTATATATTATTACTCGCACTATTTCTTAATACATTTCTATAAACTAATGATTAAAGTCTAAACCACTTTTTCACAAAATCTGACTATATATAAATGCTATAAAACTTGGTACTGAATGATTAACAGATATATTATATTACCATTGACGTCATCAATATCATCATCCACACCACCACTAAGTTCGCGCATCATTAATTGCTTTTCTGTAAGACCACCAGAAACATTTGCTGGACAAGATATCATCATTTTCATCATGCTATTATGATAATTTTCGACTTGCCCGTTCCATTGACCAGAATTCTGATTATTGGAAGAGGATGATGATGAGGAAAGATTACGAATATGACGGGTTGCAGGAGATCCTGGCTCTGGAGTCGATGTGGGTGATGGTTTAGGCTGTACCTTGGCGAATCCTATTCTGACAGGGCCAACAGCACTTCCAAGAACTTCTTTACCATGCAAAGCTTTCTTAGCTTTCACAGCATCATCTAATTTTTCAAAATTGACGAAGCCACAATTCTTGTGTGTTAAGACTCTAGCAGATTCAATTGGACCATATGGTGCAAATATATTCTGTAGAATTAGTGGTGTAGTCGAGGTGGGAATGTTTCCAATCCAAAGAGCACGTGTAGGTTGAAGTTGCGTTTGCGACGATGGAGACAGGTCGTGATTATTCAATGAATCTGCCTTACCATAACCAACACGAACGATACAATTTCCAACTCGACTTCCCATTCTATTCATAATATCATCTTTAGCTCTAATGGCATCCTCAACTCGAACAAAATTAACGAAACCACATTCTTTATCCGGTAAAAGTCTTAAACTTTCAATTGAACCGTAAGGTGAAAAAAGGTGCATAAGATCTTGAGTGCTAAGGTTAGGATCAATGTTCCCAATCCATAAGGATCGAGTTGGTGTTTGTGGAGGAGGAGTACTTTGTTGAGAATGATCAGGTGTATGGTCATGAGGGCTTGACACACCAGAACGAGCATGCTAAATAAATTACAAACTCGATTGTAAATAATGCACTACAAAGATTTTGTCACAACACATAAAAATATTATTATTAATTAATATTATACCTCTAATTCATCATGATCTGGTAATAAATAATCATCATCCATATGAATTTGTTGTTGCTGTTTCTTTTTTCCTTCCATAGCACCCAAAAGCATCATTCCAACCAATTGTTCACCACCAAGAGATCTAGATGGAGTAGTAGAACCTTGTCCGGATTCTGATAAATCATTATACATAGAACCATTTCTTCCCTGACGCATATGCATAATATCATTTGGTAAATCTAAAATGCCTAAACTAATAGCGCGAGGCCTAGAATGAGTTTGATGGAATTGTTGTACAGCAGCAGAACCTGGTGGAAAAAGATTATTTGAAGAAACCGTTGTTGTAGGTGGTGGATCATCATATTTAGCAGTAGCAGATACAGAATAAGAACGAATTCTATTTGCATCTCTACGAAGGGAAGAAGTAATAGATCCCACAGAAGGTTGATAATTTTGAGTGTTTGATGGTTTCATGTCCACTTTGATCTGTGGAAGATTACCAGTAGCTTTGAGATGTTCATGATCATCTAGGCCTAAATAATCTAAAGTTTTACCAACAGTATTATTTTCATCACCACGAAGTAAATCACCAGTAGTAGGTGTTTGCATAGGAGGAGTTGGTGGACCATTTGTCTCACTTCTATGATCAGACCATCCTGAAGTAAAAATAGATGGACCAAATGCAGCAGAAAGTGATGCTGATGGTAAAGTAAGAGATCCAGATCGAAGACGAGAACTTGCTTTTGGAGGAGTAAGAAGAGTCGCGGCAGAAGCAGAGGATCCAATAGATGTTGTGATCGACAATGAGGAGGTAGGATGATGCACAATAGGTCGAGACAAAGAGGAAGGTAATGTATCAGCTCTAGTCCGGCGGTATGAAGAGGAATAAGAGGATAAATGATCAGGACCACTACTACTAGGGGTAGGAGAGACCTTTCCAACAGACTTTAGGTTTAAATATTCAAGTGATACACTAGCAGTAGAATCCGAAAGGAGGGTACCGTTATTGAAAGCACCATTGGTAGAAATGGACGGTGGTGGAAGAGGACCTGAACGATAAGAAGTAGTAATTCCTTCTTCCGCCTGTATTTCTCTAGCTCTGTTAAATAATTTAAATAATTTTGCGAATAATAAGTAAAAATTTTCTATCGCATTGAATCACCTGACGCCATAATAATAAATATTTTTCTATAGATTTAAAAAAAAAAAAAAATTTTCCTGATAATCAATAGTGATAACTAACCTTTTAGAGGTTAAATACCTCGCCTCATGCTGAGGCGAACCGCCAGTGCTGTTTCCAGTAACAGCAGAAGCAAACGAATCCTTGCCCATTTCCGATTGTTGAGAAGCCATTTTATGAAATATCTTTTTATATGTACTGTAGAAACGGTCACATCAAGTTTTGCACAGCAAAAACGTGATGGGTTAAACTTATGAAGCCCAAGGCGTTGTTTTTGAAAGAATAAAAAGGACCTGACTAATCAAACGAGCCACGGGTCGTTAAGTCTTTAAAGATTACACTGGAGGGTTCGTGTAACAGAACGGAATTAAAGTCTTTGAAGATTACAATACCCAATTAATTAGTACTTATTAAAAACAGAAGTGTAAAGTGCTTTGGGAATGGGAAAATAAAAATTATATAGTAAGGTTACACTGAAGAACGATAAAATTATTATTACTAAGTAGGAGAGATTATATTAGGAATTAGGAAGTAGAGAAGTAAAAAAACAACCCTCCACCATAAATTGAAATAAAAAAAAAAAAGAACAGAAATTAAGAAAAAACCAACGAAAACAGCGCACAAGAAGGTCATACAAAACCCTGAAACCAAGCATTAAGCGTGCTGCGTGAGCTTACCAAAAAAGGTAGAAGTCCCAAACAGGATATATCGATATGTTGATAAGAAAGTGATAATACGCGTCATATAATAATAGCATTCAAACAAGATCAACCAATAAACCAATAAACGAACGGCGTAACGGTTAATCATAAACGCAACCAACCAAATAAATATACAAACATTAGATTTATTTATTTATTTATTTACTCTATTTATTTATTTTCTTTCTTTGCAATTATGTTCTAAGCCTTTTATTCTTGCCCTTCCTTGGATTGTTAATTCAATTCGTCCTTCTTGGCGGTCGAACTGGTTCACTCTAATAATTAATCCAAATACTGATTTTGGATATTTTATCTTTCCGCTCCTTGTCAGTGAGTGAGTGATCTTCAACGTTTGTAGTGCCTTTTTGCTATTTATATCAGTAGACAAATTTATACATCAAGTCAATATTTTAAGTCCATAAATATAATTATTAAATGCACGCCTTGGTCGAATCACCTTTCAGATGTACGCAAAAAATTTTTTTTTTTTACAAAAACCGGTTGTTTGTAACTAGCGGCAAATATTCAAAAAGAAACCTTCAATAATCATTGCCACGTTCACTGGTCAACTCATAAACTTATTTGAAGTTTATCACTCGTAGGCTTTTAGCCGATAACCTTTTGTTAACACAAAGACAAGCATATTAGAAGAATTTGAACAATAGTTGTACAACCGAGTGCAATGGACAATGCTAAAATTCACACTCTAATACAGATTTATGCATTCTGTTGTATTACAATTAAGTAATTCTTATTTCCAAATTATTTTTTTTAATTGCATAATATTGATTAAATTTACTGTATTAAAGGTAAAAAAAAAATAAAAAATCCTTTTTTTATTAAGTTTATAATATATTAATTACAATTAAAAATTATTGTTATAACTGCTGTATTTATAATTTTTTCTTTTTTATAAAATAATTGAGTTTATTTCAGTCAACTTTCTTTAAACCGAATCTAAATAAACCAACCACTTAATAAACTCTATTTAAACCGAACTTTAAAATTTAAGTTTTATTATAAAGTTCTAATTAAATATTAAGTTTATATTCGCAAAAGTTTGGTTTAGAAAAAGTTAACTGTAATAAAAATTTAATAAAGTATATTAAGAGATTTTGTAAATTTATTATATTGTATATATTGTATATATTAGACCGTACAAAGTTAATTTTTTGGTTCTTATAACATAAAATGACCCGGCAACCCGGCTTTTCAAAAAATTATAAAATAAAAAAATATAACATCTAAAAAAATCCATCCGTATAATAAAATAAAAATTTTGCAGAATTTGGTCTAACCGGGTTTGAGTGACCTGGAGCAAACCCCGGGTTGCTCCATATGAGTACCGTCACGGGAAACCTGTTATCGCGCTTTCAATTATATTTTGTACGGGACATATTCCCTAATAAATTAAATAAGTTGTGTCCGGCACAGAATATGATTGAAAGCCCGATGACAGGTTTTTCCTTGGCGGCACTTATACCGCATGATTCGGGCCGGGCGGGTATTTTAAAGATCCTGGCCCGGTCCGAACACCGAATCGGATCTAAAGTTAGGGTCCGAAACTGTATCGCGTAGACCCGGGTCCGGTTCGGATCCGTGAAATTTCAAAAAAGAATTGTAGGTGCATCTGAACTTTTATAAATAAATGCCACTGGAGAAAAACTACTTCAGAATTCAAGTTTATTTTTTAATAGATTTGAAGCCTGAAAAAGCATTGGAATATAACTAGCTGTAACTTGCAATTTAAAATTTGGCAAATAGTAGCCTATGCACTGTTATACTATAACTGTAATTTAATTTTTGTAATAACAGATAGGTGCTGCTTGCTAGTATTTGAAATGAATTTTTTTTAAAAATTTCAAGCAGTTATACTATATTTTATTAAAAAGATGATAGTTATATATATAAATGCTATTACTATATCTGATACTACATATTTGTAAATAAAAAATATAACTCATCTGATTATTATAGACATCTACAGTATATGTAACTTGCAAGAGTAGAATTTGTTTTAATGCTTGATTGTTTCTTATAGTTTCTCCAAGAATATTATTAACTTAATTCTATTAGCCTGTCATAACTATCTCTTTCTTTTAAATTTTTTCTACCTAGATCTTGGCAAAAAAGACTATAATATAATCTATTTATGATGAAAAAAAAAAAGAAAAAAACAGAATAAAAAAAGTATAAAAAAAAAAAAATAAGTATAAAAAAGATAAAAAAAAAGAGATAATTACACTAATAAAAGATAAAATATAAAAGAAGTTAGAAAAAACAAAAAAAAAAGAAGTTATAATTATAACATATATATAAAGAAGAATGAATATACTATTGTAACCTGTGCAAGATCAAAAATCATATATTAACTACAATATTTAATATATTTATATTGTAAAGCTATACCTTAATATTTAATTCATTCTTCTAACTATCAGACTGGTTTCAGATAACTCATCTATATAAGGACCTGTCTTGTTATATGATATAGCAACATGTTTATTAAAAACATGTAGTTGCCAATCTTCTAATGAAAATAAGCTATTTTGTTTACTTTTTTGGTAGAAGTACAAGTAGGTGATGGTAAGAAAAATAGATCTTGTTTCCTTCTTAAAAGAAAGTATATTTTTTTGTAAAAATAACAAAGACAGAGAGATATATACTGTTAGCTTTTTAATTGGTAGATAATAAATTCTAAACTTGTTAGCAAATAGTATATAAGAATTACTTCTAAATAACCAGTACTGACCTCATAGTAAGTGATAAACTCTAAGCTTGTTAGCAAGTAATGTATAAAAACTACTACTAAATAACAGGTGCCAGTTTATTTTTTTTTATTTTTTATTTTTTTATATTGCCAATGTAGAAACTTTTTATTTTTATTTTTAAAGGCTTTTCTCTAACATATATACAGTTTTTAATTACATTTGTGCTACTATTACTAGTTACCCAATGTGGCATTATACTCCTTATT